CATGAGTTTCTAGAAGGATCATGACTTTTCCTGGCAACTCTAATTCTTTTTTAGGCGCCCTCTATTTTAGTATATAAGCCCGGCAAATAAAGCGGAGATAATAATTGCAGATAGACAGATATACAGACAGATAATTGAGTCAAGCGAGCGGTAGTGGTGGTAATATAAATTGTGTGTTTTGTTATCGAGATTGCAAACGTATTGACTGTGGAAATTCTGTGTATTGCAAACTTGTATTGAGAAAGAATAAACTAGTTTTATTTAAGAAAGGACTTGTATCGCTGAAGTTCATCGGGAAGAATTTATACCGGAAATTAACAAACGACCAGAGACGTAACAAATTGTACAGTTTCAAGATTTTCAAGCACAGAAATCAGATTAATTAAAGCAGAAGGGGTTTAGTTTGTTTGTTTGATTTTAAGCAGAAAGCTATCACATTCACAGTGAGCTATCATGCCTTACCTATCTCGGGTATCGACACTCGAGTTTTAGCGTATTAAGCCATCAGACTTACCGCTGAACTACCGAGGGGGAGAAAACAAAAAAGGATACCTATCACTTACAAACAAACCTTGGCATATGTTCGCCTCATGTCTATTTGCATACGATGTTTTGGTACTTTTCTGTTATATCTCGCAACTGTTACTGTTAAGCTTAACGTTTAAGAACCAATTATATTGTTGCGTCAGCGAGGTCACGTGATTAGTATCACGCCGCTCCTTCTCTCAAACATTCGGGAATTGTCGGGAGATTACTAGATATAGGGTAGCCTGGTATATATAAGATGGTGACAACGTGACGGGACAATGTGTAGGTAATGAGCAATTGAACTGCAGTCAGAGAGTACAGTGTAATTGAGTATTGTCGAGCACGAGCACCGTTCTAGCGTTTGTTATAGAGCGACTGTTGAAATTAAGTGTATCAGTAAAGTTGTTCGGAAAGAATAAACCAGTTTTATTTAAGAAAGGACTTGTGTCGCTAAAGTTTCGTCGGAACGAATTTACGGAAAATTAACTAACGATCAGAGGCGTAACAATATCATTTTTATCATTAGTTTGTCTTCACACTAAAGCAATAAAGTTTATCTTTAATTACGTAGAACGTAGAAAGAGATCTTTATTAGAATTGACAATAAATAGTTTTTGATGTGATGTAATTATTTATGTATTTAGCCTGATTTCTGTTATATTTGTAACATACCTATAGGCTAACTATATGCTGAATTTAAACTAATGATAAGAGACAAGAAACTAGTTTTAGATTATATTTATTTAATAAAACAATGTATTTAATATATTTTACGATTTACTTTAGTGTGAAGACAAACTAGTGATAAAAAAAAAGTTTAATTGGTTCTTAAACGTTAGGCTTAACAGTAACAGTTACGGGGTATAATGGAAAAGTACCGATGTTTTTTCTGGTTAAACTTGAATTCAAATTTTACTTTCTAATAACGAATTATTTGTGGTTAGATGTGTGTGTGCATGAAAGTAAATGTAGAATTCCGATACCTACACCTGAAGGCCAAGCTGTAATTTCCCTGAATGACTTTTAAAAGTATTACTTACTCATGCTTACATAAAAACAAGTATCTCGCCTATTTATATGACCAATGTTTAAAAGTACAGTGCAGTATAGCTAAGCGTGGTCCTGATGTCATCCTTGAGGTGAAGCGTAGTTCCGTTTCTTAGTCATTCAACAAAACTCCTAAAAGCTTTATTTTTTAAGTAAAGAGAAAACACTCAAACTAAAAACACGTAAGTCAGTTGAAGACCTTCAATATAACACTTTCTGAATAATTAAAATAGTAATAATAGTATTTTACTCTAAACAGAATCAAACATTGGAGATTTTTTCTAATATTGTTCATGAAATTTACACAACTTTTGTACAAAACCTGTAGTCCCCCAGTGGGACAGCGATAAATTTATGTACTTAGTACGATAAAATCTAGGTTTCTATTCCCCGCGGTGGACACAACAGATAGCCTAATGTGGCTTTGTTCTAAAACAAACAAAACCTATAAATAAATTTAGGAAATAATCTATATAACGTCGAATAGATAAGTATAAACTCTTTTTCGAAATATTCTATTTTTCCATGACGAAAAGAATTTTTGTTTCAATTTTTTAAGTCATCTGGTACGATACGTTGCACGTATATGTCACTAATTTTGTCTAAACCGTTATTTGACAAAAGACTGTGTATGTTCGTGTGTCCACTTATAACTAGTGAACCGCTGAACTGATTGTCACCAAACCTGGCTTGTATCCTTATTACCCTCCGGGTAGTGACAAGGGGTTGGATCTGATCCCTTGTATTATCTTTGAGGGGTCCTATATATATATTTCAGCTCGGACACAAATACACCAATAATGTTTATTTTTGAACAAATACGTACTCTGATAAAAATTAAATGTTGAAAGTGCAAAAGTTTTCGGATAAAATTCACGTCCTAACTATTTGGAGGGAGGAAATTTTTTTATACAACTGACGACAATAATAATAAGGAAAACCTGAGTATAACTACTACACGTCACACCTTAATTATATCTTTTTCGAAGTTTCGTCGTTTTATATGCACCATTCTTCATATTATTATACTTACCTGTTTTACATATTTGATAATTGCAACGTTTCAGTGTTTTTCCCGAATGTAACGTATAGTAGCTGCAATAAAAAAAAAGTTGTTGGCTTTCATGCGTGTTTTAGGTAGATTTCGAATGAGGAAAGTAAAACTAGGCCTACGTAGGGCTTACTATTACTCTCCTATTTAACCTTCCCTTTCGCGAACAATCGTTATTTACCTAGTACACACTTTCAAAATATTGACAGAGGGACCTAGTATCTATAGGGAAGGATGACCTCCTTTTTGTTTTTATATATATAACACGATTTTAAAAAATAAATCCAATCGTATAAAAGGCGAAACGAACCTGTGCCACCACCAAAAAACGATGACGAAAAATAAGAATATATCAAAATTTGTAGTTCCTCTAATCACCGCTTAAATTAAAACCGCAAAAACATGCGTGACTCACGATTCGTGGAAATTTAATTTGTCAGTAGTATTTTTTACATTACGTGTTAAAGTCACGGCTAAATAAGGCAGACGACAAATTTGAACAAGACGTCAGTGGAAGAAATCATCACAATTTGAATACGTTGGTAGTACCAAGATGTGTAAAAGTCTGATTAATCTATTGCTACTTGCGGTTGCTTTCCAGATGTTACCAGGTACTAAACTTTGTTATTATCTTTACATAGTCTGTCTTATACTTAACAAATAAGCTATTTTATCAACATTTTTCAAATATCCACCAACATAAATTTACTTGAAATAAGAGCTTTTTTTGTAATTTAACTCGTTACTCCCTTCAGCAGCCTCGAGAAATTTATTAGTTTTTTATCATTAAGTATTTAAATTTAGCTTCAAGAAACATTTTTCTTACTCGATTTTGTTATTCTCTCTTGTTACTGAGTTGACAAAATGTATTATTTAATTAATTATAACTTAACTTATTGTATAATCATTTTATTCTGAATGTTATTACTAATGACATGAAAATTTGTTTGACTAACAATATCATATTTTTACCTAACATGTAATATTTATCGTAAAATCTCCCGCATGTAGAAGCCTCTTTCAAAAAATGAACTAATATATGAGATAAAAGATACCCTATAACCAGGGAGCTTACGAAAAGTAAAAATGGGCCTTCATTTTTCAGGGTTAAGTTGGAGAAAGGAAGGGTTTTTTTGTAGAAAATACTTGAGTTATCGGGTTTCTTATTGTATAATTCAACGTTCTTTCGTAGTGATTGTATATCTATTTTCATCAAAGAAAGGACGATGAATAAAGAGTAAAAACTTGTCCCAAGTTTTGAAATGTTTCATACCAATACACATACCAAAGAGGAGTTTAATATTGTGCAAAATACAATATAACTATTGTTGTGACGTTGTTTTGATTTGTTCGTTGGCGAAACCTTGTAAATTATCCCGTGAAAATAATTCAAAGTTCAGTCCAATAAAATTATAATGAATGAATTTATTTCCTCCTTTTATCGTTTCTACAACCTTGAACACTTTTACACTGTCGTAAGTTATTGTAGGCCTACGTTACGAGTGACGTAAAAAATCAACTAAATTGTACTAAGTAACTCGATAAAGCGTATTCGTTAACTCAGGTCCAAATACGTAAACACACTGATTGGTTCACTCTACAAGTTTACTTACTTTCTTCTCAACAGTCTCATCAGTTAACTGTGAATTATTTCTAACTAACCTCTCGGTACTTCACAGAATGTTGTATTTATAGTCTATGCTTGTTCTAGATATTTCTAGGACTTGCTTGATCTTAATATCATGAATACTTTGCCTAAAACGTACATTAGATAAATTATAACGTTAAAAATATAGTTTATATCACTATATTTAGATTCAAAGTTAACTTGCATAATCACTTCTCGTGAGATATTTGAGACTAATTTGAAATTTTATCTGATCTATAAAGTAATCATGTCACACCTCTTGTAAAAATCCTGTCAATTTTATAACTATGGTAGAGAGTATAATACAAATGGAAATTAAGAGATGGAGGAAGGAAACATTATTTTCATTTTAAAAAAATGTGTTCATGTTTTGCCTGCTTATTTAGCACACGGGCAAAATAGAACCACAGCACCTTCTTACCCTGTTAAGCCGGTATTTTCACGAAGATGTATCGCCCCCAGGGGTCAGTTTCCTCACGAAGAATATTGTTATCGTTACTACGATTGCTGGGATGGGGAAGTTGCTGTAGAAGAATGTCCAGGAGAACTTCTGTTTAACAGCGATCCCCAAAAATATTATTGTGATTACCCTGAGAGTGTTGATTGTGGTGGCCGTTCTGTTGTCAAAGGTGAGTTACAAGTTTTTTCTTACAGGTGCCTAGGCTTAGTGTACTGAGATTTTGTTAGTTAACTACGTAGGCTTCGAACTTAAAAGTATTAGTGATTGAAACTGAGTAAGCTTACTGTGAGGGTAGAAATTTACTAGATATTTTGTATTGAAAGACTCACAGAATGCTTGTTTGTTTTGAATTTCGGGCTGTCTGCACTAGCCGTACCTAATTTTGTAATGATAGACTAGAGGGAAGACAGCTGGTTAACATCACCCACTGCCAATTCTTCAGCTACTCTTTTACCAACGAATAGTGTGATTAACCATCACATTATAACACATACACACCCACGGCTGAAAGGAAGAGTATATTCACCAATGTAACTCGAAACCGTGAAGTAGGTTTAGAACTATTCTAAGATGGCTCTGACATGTAACTGGGTTATTCTAGGCCTACGCTTTGCCACTGTGGTATCATGAGCTTTACAACATGAAAGTATAAGATGTATAGACTATTTCAACTTAGGGAGAATAACTAAAGAAACGAGGGGTAAATTTATGTGGACGAAAAAATGGACTGGTAAATCGGCAGAATTATTTTTTTTTATTCAACAAAACAAGACGTATCGTGATAGATCAGAAAGCTTGGGCATTATGAACTGTGTATAATGATGTATTAAACATATTAAATATACTATAGGCAAGAACTGACACGGGAGCAAGCAACTTCGGCTGGAGATCAGGTTCTACAGAATGACTTCTTGTAACTTTGGTCAAATAGTGAAGTCAATCTTACGCACAAGTATGCAAAGTGGCTAACAAATGCAACAGTAGATCTCCTTCTTTACAGTATGGCCGAATCTATGAAAGTCTTGCAATAATAGAAAAATGTAAAAAAGTAACTGGACTTGAAACAAAGAAATATGGATTTTTGTTTGCATAGTGTATTTATTTGCCGTATTTGGCCAACTCATTGATGACAACACTGTTGGAAACTGAATAACCTTACAGTGAAATAGTGTTTAAATTAAGATTTTGAAAGAGGTGGAACTCCCATTTGATCCCTTGGTTCCTGGCTATCATGAGAACGGCACTGTACCAAATCACACAAGAAATTAAATGAAATGAGACTCAATTTTGCATCTAGGTTTAGCTAGTTAGTTAATTTGCTGAATTTAACACAAAGCTACTCAAGGGCTATCTGTGCCAGTGTGGTACAACGAAGCACATTTTTCTTACAATAAGAAGACCAGGAGTGTGTTAGACATACACGAATGTTCAATTTACTTAGAAGCTATAGTTTATCGCAGGTTTGTTTACATAACTGTGTACCAATCATACCGTATAGAGTTTAACTGTTGTGAATTGGTGCTTGTTGTGTTTTTGCGTCATGTTACTAGAACCTTATAAGTTTTTCTCGTTGTTTCAATTAAGTACTATTGCATCATGAGATCTCGTAGTGTGAAGAATGTTCGAGGCCTTTGTTGGGCTATAAACGTAGTTCAAATAAGTAAGACATGGTTACTGAGATAGATAGATCTAGACTGCGTGATTGTGAGTTTAGCCATAATAGCGTTTTGTGGCGATTTTTAAAGTGAAATTATCACAAATTGTATTGTAAAAACAGAGTAGAGAAGAAATAATTTGTCTTGTCAATTGTGATCTAAAATAATTGAACCAGCTTGTGTGGACTTTGATGAAAAAAAGAGACAATTATTTAGTGGAGGTTAACTGTGTACCAAACATTTGTATATACGTTTGACTTGTTTTAATATATTATCTTAAAACAAGTGGACCGTGTGCTGTTTGTTTATTGTTGAAATTTATTGCCAACAAGTTAGGCACTTACTGTAAGGCTGCAACATGATATGATCATGTTCCAGCTAGGTCAGAACCATCAAATAACACGCAGTTTTGTTGTGTATACCATACAAGATTTAAGAATTATATCTGTTGAAAGAAATTATGAATTTATTAATATAATGCCATACAATCAATGATAATTTTTATAAAAACTATTTTAGATCTGCTGTTCTTGATGAGTTCTTTTACCAAAGATATAAGCATAGCTTTGCAATAACTACAGCAGAAGTATCATCAAATAGCCTGCAAGTGGGATACAGTATCACGTATATTGCCATCTGGCCTGTCAGCAATTACAAGAGTTGTCAGCTTCTCTCCATTGACCCCAGTGACCAGCATTCTTGATTTTATCACTTTTGACCTATACCTTTGTGGCTGAAAGGAAAGTAGCATATTTAAACTAAGTTAACTCTCTTATTATAGTATGTTGATCCAATACAATCTCCAATAAATTGAAATGACCTCAAATTGATGGAATATTTTTTCTTTACACACCTATTACTCCTTTATGTTAAATATTAGAAATTAATGTTAACTCTTATTAGAACTTACGTATGGTTAGTTATAGTTAAATCCGTGAAATTCCTTGCAAGGTACAAAGGGCTGGTGTTTTCAAACTCTAGTTTCAAGTCACACAAGTGGATAAGAATGGTGACTCATTCTCCCTGGACAGGATGCCAGTCCATTTCAGGTTAACCCTCAGTTATCAGCTGATACCCATCTTACAACTGGGTAGACTGGAACAATTGGGGTAAAATATTTTGCTCAGGGACACCACAACATGACGCCGGCCAGCCTCAAACCTGCAACCATCCGGCTACGGGTCCAAAGTACAAAGCCATTGAGCCATGCTGTCTCAGTCTCTATATGAGATATATTTAATTGTATCATAGCTCCTGTCGAAAGTCTCAACATCATTTTTAAAAGGAAACAAAGTATTAATATTTTACTTCAGCTGTATTTCTTCCCCTCCAATGTTCATTATCTTACTCTATCAGAATTAGGTGCTTAAATCAACTTGCATTTTTAAACCACTTTTATTTAATTAAGTTTTATTATACCGAATTATGCATGTATGTATATCAGTATATGCATGCAACATAAT